ACCCGCAAGACTTGTCTTTCAAACACCCTTTTCGCCGTGTTTCTGACTATCTTTGCCACGACACAGTCGCAAATGCTAGCTAAGTATAAAAGGAAAATAGAAAAACCATCCTTTTTTGTTTTTCAATATCTTTTTTTCAAAATGAAAAAAAAAAGACTAAAATGTACACCTGCTTCTTTAAAGCCGGGTTCGCACCGAACGCATTTTGAGCAGCAAAAACGTTGCCTTTACCAAATATGGTATGGGTCTGACACTGACCTGGCCCCGCCCCTTTCTGCATTCTGCAGTCAGGTTTTATTTATGACTTCTMCTCTGCATGTAAAGCTATCAATGCCTTAAAGCACAGATAAACAACAGGAGTTTATCTACTAAATGCCTGCATTAAAAGAAGGTYTGAGAGAARAGCTATGTATGACAGAGTGGTTGGGAAATTCCAAAAATCACAATTTCAACAGTTTTTTTTTCTAAAGATGACACACTTGTAACATCTGATTTTGTTCCTCCCAGTAAAAACTACTGCTGAAGATAAGATAATAAACAAAAAGCTCAAAACAAAAGACCATTTTTAAAATTCCTCCTGGCTCTCAGTAGCTCAAAAATAACATTACTGTCTGCACTGGTGAGCATGATGTCTAAAAACTGGCCTTAGATTAAGAACACGGCTGCTCGTTCATCTGCATCTTAGGCTCATGTGACCCCAAATCCATTAGGATCATTACGGATAAATGCTTCTCATCGCAGCTGTACAGGTGTGTGTCAGATAGCGACAGCATCACAGTGAAGGTCACAGCTAAATGGGAGTGGGGGGGGTCTGCTTGAGCTCAAAGATGATGTCATGTCTCCAGAGGAAGACAAATCGTCCCACACAGTCCCCGAGCAGCAGGTGTCAGCCGGTCACATGGGAGGGGGAGGGGGACCACGTTGAGAAATCTTATAAGAAATGATTTCATGTTAACCTGAACTTCTACACAACCCGTTTAGTTTCAGCTATCTTCCTCTACACACAGACATGTTCTAATCTTCAGGACTTAGTTGTTAGTTGTCTTTAAAAGGTGTCCTGGACTCTGATCCCTTCTTACAAACCATCTGTTGTGTAGATCCAGGGTTCATGGAGGAGAAGGGCTTTGCTGTGGATCTACGTTACATTATATGCTGTCCCCTTTACGGGACTCCGTGTGGAAAAACTGAACTAAAACATAAAATGTGATTCAGAGCGCAGCCATGGTTGTTTATGGGATTAAAAATGGGCTGGATGAGGATTAAATTTCCTCGCAGAGGTTAAATCCAGTGTGTGTTTCTGCTCATGCAATAATCTTGTGCACTCCTTGAATGCATGAACGCACATCATTACAGTTATCTTTATGAACTGCTTTCAGCMTTAAACCAGTAAAGTTTCAAATGGTCAATAAGTAAACTTAAAAACGAATATATATGCTGTCAAACGTATTCATCACTAAGGTGGCAGATTAAATAAAGCAAGTTTAATGGGAGCATTTTATTCTAAATATTCCAAATATTGGATTGAGACTGAGGACTCTGCTACATTTATTCCCTCAGAGTTTTAGCTTTAGTTTAAGTCGACCAAATAACTTGCTTTGAAATGAAAAATGTTCACAAGTTGAAGATATATTTGCAGCTGCAAAAAAKTTTCTTGGACTGTGGCGTTTCTCAAGGCTCCATTCTTGGCCCACTGTYATTTTCTATTTATACGTTACCTCTTGGTCYAGTTATTRGCAAATATAATATTGCTTTTCACTTCTATACAGATGATACTCAAATCTATTTAGTTATTGATCCATCTGATCTGTTTACTGTAAACATACTAGGTTCATGTCTCGCTGATATATTATTAAAGTCTGCATGTCTGATAATTTTTATTGTTAAACAATGACAAAACTGAGGTGTTGGTTTTTGCTCCAAAGGCATATGGAGACCATATTATTCAAATTGATGGTTTTAGATTCTGATCTGAGTTTCGCTAAACAGTTTTATGATAGTATTAAACTGGCTTTTATCAAATTAGGAATATTGCGAAAATAAAATCAATGATCTCTTTGGCAGATGATCAAACCCTCACTCACGCTTTTGTCTCTTGTCATCTTGATAACTGCAGTTCTCTGTTGGTCTGCCTCAAAAAGTCCCTAAACGTATGATCACATTACTCCAGTGATTGCCTCTTTGCACTGACCTGTGGTGCTTAGGATTGATTTGGTTAAGATTGTATTGTTAGTTTTTAAGTCATTAAATGGACTTGCACCATCTTATATTACTGAGTTACTTACTCCTTGCATCCACTTAACATCAGAAAACCCTCTTAGTAGTCCTCTTTTAAAAACGTATTATTAAAGTTTGGCTTTTAATTGTGGATTTTTGCATGRATTATATTTTTATTTGTGCTATGTATTTTTAAATTTTGTTATGTGATGTAAAGCACTTTGTAGCTGTGTTTTGAAAGGTGCTATGAAAACAAATGTATTAGTATTATACTCTGGCACAAGATGTCAATGAATCGACGGCAATATTACTTTTTAGGCCAAAATCACTGCAAGCTACAGGAGACACTGAGTACTTTTTGAGCAATTAATGGAAATTCTGTATATATTACCCATAAAACAAAACATTAGCACTAATAAATAATAGCCTAATAGCCTGCTTGAAAGAATACATATCGCCCACCACCTTCCATGCCAGAGTTTTCAGCTAAGATCAACTTTTGTCAGAAAATAAAGTAGCTGTTTAGATTGCACGCTCAGAGTAAGAAATGTGAGTGACTCTCAGCTACTACCACACCAAAAGGTAGCTCCATGTCTGTAAAACGAACTGAGGTAAAGCCATGTTTGTGTTTGCTAACGTGGATTAGCTGCAGTGATAATAGTGAACTGGACTGACCCCAAAAGTTAACGATTATTTCCTGAACGTACCATCAAAGCTCGTCCAATGGTTCATGAAATATTTTGCCAAAAAACATTATCTGCCTTCTTCTTTTGATATAACTGTATCATTTAGCGTAAAGCTTTAAAAATATGGAAATATAACCATGGTTTTTATTAGGGGTGTAAGAAAATTATGATACACTGAAATATCGCGATATTTCATTTCCCGATACTGTATCGATATTCTAAAGCCCTGTATCGATTTTTTATTAAGGTTTAAAATGTCAACCTTCTTGCCAACCATTCATTTTTATGTCGTAGTTCAGCCTCTG